TCTAATGTCCATCTTGAATAAGTCTCCCCCCCAATCAAGAGCAAGGCCCCGCTTTGAGTCCTGTTAATTCAATGGTTCTGCCTGGCTGTTAATTTTTATTCAACTTATTTTGTGTATAACTAAATAAAAAACAAATAAAACTTATGTCACACTATTGAAAAAGAATTCAATCCAAATACTCAGCTATAACATTGAATGGTAAGAAAACGATAATTAAAGCTTAATCTAAAATTCAAAGTGTACAAATCTATATACAAAAAGTATATAGAGAAAGAAGGAATCAAGAATTAAGTGAGGTTTCAAGAGAAAAGAAGAAATCAAGAATTGAGTGAGGTTTCAAGAGAATATATATATATATATTGGTCAAAGGAGGACTCTTTGAATATTCTCTAATATTAGGTTTAGAGTACGAATTTTAGATCTGACAGCTGGAAATAGAAAAAGTATATGGACGGGTGGGAAGTGCTAAATTTAGTTATTTCTTTTCTCTCCACTAAGAGCATTATTTGCATTTCCAAGTTTTACCTATTTTTGTATCCAATTATTTCCTAATTTATTTTTATTTTACTTTCTCTCTCCTTTTATCACTTTTTAAAGTAAATTTGAATTAGCTTTTATTGTGGTTTCTCTCTTCTAATTTGTCTTTTTAACAACTTTGAATTATTCTTTTTATCCATCGGTATTAACTTACCGAAAACTAAAATTTCCCTCCTTGATACAAATATATAATTTAAGTTTATTATCAATATAAAGTGTATTAATTATTTCAAAGAATATTTATCAATCTTTTGGAATGCCTTGCTATATTAGATGGATATTATCACATCAAAACAAATGTATGTATAGAGGTTTTCAAAATTGGTATGGTAGTTGAATAATTAGAACACATTGGGTGTAGTTGATACCAACCATTATTTTAAATATTATCTTGCTTGCATCAAAAATAAAATTTTTAATCACCTTTTTATCTCACATGAGTCACATCACAAAATTATTATTCCAAATAATATTTCAAATAATCTCCTATCCAAACCCAAACGTTAATTTAAAAAATTATTTGTGATATCTTTTTCTCAAAATATTCATGCTTACACAAGTTCACAAATACGAGCGCTAAAATAATAGTTTAAAATGTAAAGCAAATGTTATAGTTGGGACTATGCGAGCATAGTGAGTAAAAACTTGTATTTACTCATTCAATACACGACCACAAGTATAATTCAAAAATCCCCCTACTACGTACATTTTCCAAATAATTTAAACTGGCTTGTACTTTTCAAGAAAAAAATATTTAAAAAACTGATAAAATTTTCCTCTATTCTACCTCATGAATGATACTTTAATTTACAACGAAATTTTAAGATTTTTATAAGCCCTTTAGGTTATCTAGTTGTTTTTCCCCTCCCTTGAAAGTTAGATAGTATAGGTGCTGCTACTTGTAAAAAAGAAATAGTCCCACAGATTTGAGTTTTATACCTTTCTAATCTCTTACATTTGAATATGTTTATCATTTTAGTCTCTCACTTTTAAAATGAGGAATTATGTCCCTCACATATTCACAATACGCCACTTTAATCCCACAACTTATTTTCAACAAAATTTCACCTATAACACAAAGAAATATGCCAAAATATTGTGACTGCATGTGCAAAATCAGGAAATACTTGTAAAATTAACTGGCAGTATCATGTGAAGCTGAATTGTTATAGAAAACTCACTGAAATTGCTTTCTACCAACTTAAACATAAATTTTAGAATGTTAAAAAAGTCTACAATAAAATTTATACAACTATTGAAATTCACCCAAAACATGTTATAATGTAGAACACAATTCTCTTACCTTAATAACATAAGAAAATAAAATTTGAAAAACAAAATCTAACATTAATTTTACCTTTGTGGTTGTTTGAATATATAGAGAAAAATAATAGTTGAGCTTGAAAATTCCCAGTTTTGCAGTAATACTTTAGAATTGAATGAACGAACTTAGTTATAATTTTTGAGCTAATTTCAGGTGAAATGTCATTGAAAATGGATTTTGGGACAAAAATTCTACATTTTGGATGTGTGAGGGACCAAACTAAACTATTCAAAAAGTGAGAGAGAAAAAAAATACGGAACCTTATATATAAGGGACCAAATTACATCGTTTCAAAAGTGAAGACTAAAGAAATGTAGAAAACTCAAATATGAGGCAAATTTATGCGCTTTTCCCACACAAACACAATCTTTATTTGTAACTTTTTGCACATTATTACTGAGACATACGTGCCAATATGGTTATGTTTTTGCAATTCGATGTGGTTGATGCATTTGTTGTATGGGACAATGTACAATTATACTAAACTATTGTATCCAAATATATTACATATTTTACTTGTATACACTATCTTTTACTACAAAATAAAAAGTGAGAGGCTAAATGCATAGCCTCCTATCTTAAATCAACACATCGTAAAAGTTTTACTACTAATGAAATATGAGATAATTTTAGAAACCTCCCCTGAAGTTTCTCATAATATCACTCTGTTCCCCTAAAGTTTACTTTCCCATCAATTTGACAAGACTAAATACTCCAATCAAAGGTCACAAATTGTATTATCCTTGCTCTTAATAACCATTGAACCAAAAATAAATAAATAAAAAATTTAAACCAAAATATGTAGATTAATAAACCAAATTGATATCTCATAGTGGTCCATATTTCACTATAACGAGGTCATGGTAGGACAGTAAAGAACATAAGTAAATTAAATTTAGTCAAAGTCAACCACTTATAAGGATTTTGGTGAGTAATTAACACATTAAAAAATTTTATGGACAATTATAAGGAAGTCAAGAAATTTTTTTAAGAAATATATTTTCATATATGATGTTGTTTAAGTTGTGATGAAAACTAAAAGAATCTCTTCATAAGTGTGAAATTTTCAAGGTGTAAATTTTGTTTTTGTTCCAATATAACAAAAATAAATAGGTCAAGTCAAAAGATTTACACCTTTATAAAAATTTAACCTTATTTTATTTTTATTGTTGTTGTAAATTTCATAAGTAAGATAACATAAGAGTAGTTTTGGAATAAAAGTTTTATCTTTTTTTGTAGTTCCTTCAAAGAGGCTAAAATGTTACAAGAAATGTCAATTTAAGGGAGATAAATGAAAATTTTAAATCCTCAAGAGAACCAAGTGATATTGTGAAAAACCTCAAGGGAGGTTTCTAAAATTATCCCATGATATAAATTATTTTACTATTGGTGCAAGTTATCAATGCATCAGAAGTGTGGATACGGAGCATGAATGTAGCCTGTTCCAAAATTATATACATTACATGTACAACAACCTAATTCATGAAACGCATTTGGATGTCCTGAGTTTAGATTGAGGTTTATTTAGGTTAACTAATTAGTACGCTAATATGACTTTAAATTTGGGACCAACCATCGTAACACTTCAGCAAAAATAGCGAACTTTACCAGTCCAAAAACATCTCAATCTCAATGAGCTGTCTAGTGTCTAGGACTTTTTGGTAATCCGTATTCCGTACTATGCTGGAAAATGGGATCGTTCTTTTGCTGGGTTAACGTCCAAATGCCAAGCCTGTCAGGCAACTAGGTGGATGCAATGTAATAATCCGGCTAAGGTCAAGGCCCCACAAATTAGACTATTGGGGTTCAATTCCTTCATTACCTTCCAGCTCCTTAAATTCTTTCATTCCTTGCTAAATCTCTTTTTTAAGTAATAATCCTAGTTGTGCTTTTCATTGTACTTAAGGATGTAATTGAACCGAACTACTTGCAAATAACTCAATCAAAAGCTTGAATTGCACTCGGTCAAAACTAAGTTTGAATCGAGTACGTGTAGCTCGATAATTATTCAATCCGAGTTTGAATATTGATTTTTTAAGTTCGGTGGCTCGTCGAGTCTTACCGAGCACAAAGTAATTAATTAAAAATTGTATATTTATTTATTACAATTTTGTTCTTTTAGACTTGGGAGTTGTATAAATTACCTAAATTATTTTTTTAGTTAAGTCAAGTACTTGAGTTCGATCATACTCGCAAGAAAATCAAGCATAATCGAGTCGATTTCGAGTTTTCAAATCATTTTTTGAATTTGAGTTCGAACTTCATTTATGCTAGTCGTTCGAGCTCAAGCATTACCTCTCTATTATCGAGTCAAACTCAAGTATAGCGATACTAGCACTCGACTTGACTCGATTACATTCCTAATTGTACTGCTACAAATGTTAGATAATTAATATATAGTGCCTCTTTTTATACTTCTTCCCAGCAAATTAAAACGGATAACTTTTAATATTTTGTCAGGATAAACGGTCTTTTTGTAATTACAGGATGAAGTCTATTCCTCTTTTCTTAGCTCTTTAGACAAATATGAGCACCCAGGAAATTGTTATGAAGCTAATTTTGAAGTTTGGTGGAAGAATCATATGAAATTAACAATTTTCGACCAAGTAAAGAAGCATGAGTAAAGGAGGAAAAATTTAGTCCTGTGTTAGAATATTGTGAAGATCCATTGAGTTCTTCAACATGTGACAAAAATGTGAGTCTTTTTGGTTTAAAGACAATCTTTGGGCACCTGATGGGTGAAACTCTTGTGTTCTTGGCAATTTTTGTTCTCCTTGATAGGTGGGATGCGATGGATAGTTTCCCTAGCCTTTTACCGCCGGATTATTCACCAAACGTATTAGTGCAACAATTTCATTTTGTTCTGAGAGAAGAAGTTAATGAATAGGTGCTATGATTGAATCCTTTTACAAGACCTAAAGAAAATAGAAAAAATAATACAAAAGAGGAGAAAACAACAAAAAACTTAAAACATTAAAACAGTGCATATTGAAATACCCTAGTTCATAAAACCACACTAATATAGAGTAAAAGGGGTTCAGAAAATTCACTGAACAAGATAATCACAGCGGTAGAAGCACTTTTCTTTTTATTTTTCTTCTTTTCTAAATTTACAAAATCAAAAAGATAAGCATCTTAATTACCGACCACCAGAGAGAATAGAGTCTGCTACAGAATGTAAGAAATATTGGTCTGTAAAAGTAGCAAAGGACGATGGGATATCTTCAAAGCCAGCAGGTTGGGCGGAGCCAAGACCGAAAGCGGAAATGCCCATGGCCAGTGGAGATAAATCTGGCAGAGCAACTGATCCATCCAGGTACAACAAAACTTGCCTCATACTTGGCCTAATCTTTGGTTGCGAATGAGAGCACAATAAGCCTAATTTCAACACCATTTCTGCTTCCTCTTTCACATACTCAGTGCCCAACTTTTGATCAACAGCCTGGAGAATATTTCCTGCTTTCCAGCACGAAAATACCCAATCTACCAAAATGATATTCTCTTCTGGCTCTGCACGGGTTTCTATTGGCCTCCTTCCACAGGCAACCTCTAGCAAAAAGGCCCCAAAAGCATATACATCGGTGCTCGTTGTGGCCTTCCCTGTCCTGCTATACTCAGGGGCAAGGTAGCCAAGAGATCCCGCTACATGGGTGGTTTGAGGTAGAGTTCCATGATCGTATAGCCTTGCCAGGCCGAAATCTCCTAATCTTCCATTCAGTTCATCATCTAACAATACATTACTGGCTTTTACATCTCGGTGGATCACAACTTGCTCCCATTCTTCGTGTAGATAGAGTAATCCTGAAGCCACACCTCTGATGACTCGAAATCTTTCGCTCCAGTTGAGGGTACGCTTTGGTTGTTTGAACAGAAAACTGTCTAGACTACCCTTGGACATGAATTCATATACCAAAAGTAACTCTCCTTTACGCCGACAATAACCCAGGAGCGGCACTAAATTTCTATGGCTTAAGCGTCCAATACTGACGATTTCTGCAACAAATTCCTTCATTCCCTGGCTTGCGTGATGAGAGACCTTCTTGACAGCAACCTCAACCTTGTTTGTTGTCAAAATGCCTTTGTAGACCCTGCCAAATCCGCCTTCTCCCAATAGCAGTTTTTCTGTAAACCCCTTGGTGGCAACGTATAAATCTTTATATTTGAACCTGTGAGGTCCATAAGCAAGCTCCCATTCTTCCAGCACTTCTGCATACTTCCACTTCCTCCTCAAATAATAAGCTACTCCAGATGTTAGTGTTAATGACAAAAGTATGCAAATCAGGGGCAATCCGACGGTGAAAAATTTAGACACTTTCTTAGGTCCAAACCGAGGTAGCTTGGGGAGCCGAGACAGATCAAGAGCTTGTGCAACACCATTGACCCTGAAGCTCCATCCAAGTACAAACTGAGATGTTCCCATGTCGAGTGGACTAGAGGCTGCAGAAAAGCCAACATACATGGTTTGCTTTAAAATTGGCGAAAGATCATATGTCAAAGACAAAAGAGGAGTATGTGGTTTGGCAGCCGCTATTGGAGCTAATGTAACATTGATTCTCCTGTCCGCCCCGTCGTATTCCACCCAAAGTTGCATCCGCTGACCGCTGCTAAGAGTTAAGTTGTCAAATGAATTATTGTTATTAGCGTGGTAACTTGCTGGGCTGGATACGATGGACTTCACCGAGTTGACATCAATACCAACATGGTTGGCATTAATATCTTCAACTTCTTGGTGTTGGAAAGTGTCAAGCTCCACAGCAAAAACATGATTTGTTTGATTCCCGTCGGTGTTTCCATCGACGAGGCCTAGGAACTGTGAGAAACCCACTTCTGTAAGGTTTCTTGTTGGTGCAATCACGAAAGCTATTCCAGGACCATTCACGCGTGAGACTTCGGGTACTATAGCAAACACAAACTGGGTGGAAAAGGAGAAAGCTGAACTGTTATGTGTGCTCTTGAAGTTTATGGGATTAGGATAGAAGGCATGCCCGGTTCGAAATTTGGTGGTGTTGGTTATTCGTAGGAGGCCATTGTTGGTGACTGTGGCTAATCCATCCAGGCTTAAATTTGATGATTGAAATCCTTGAAAGATGAACCCAACATCATCAGAAGCCGCTGCACCAACTACGATGTGAACTAGAAAATAGGCTAAGATTGCTGTTACTAGTTTCAACGACATGACTAAATAGTTGAATGCCAATTGCTAAATTCTTCTTAATTTATCGCTCTTTCTAATTTCTCACACACACTTCGACTGCTTTTTAACTAAGCCAAATGACAAGCATTTATAATATGGTGGCGACTGCTTGGCCACTATGGTAGTGGTCTTTTTAATTGTACGGAGCAGGCTCTTCTCCATTGTATTCCTCCTCCATTTTCCCTCATTATACCTTTGGATGATTGCCACATGGATTTATAGTTATCTATGACTCATAAAGCTTTCATTGACTTGGGTTTAACTAAAGTTAATTTGATTAACATTTCCATATTTAATAACTACTATTAGCACATCAAAAAGTAAACTTCTGTTTCCAATTTGGAATATGTAATTAAGAGGCAGTCAAATTTTTGCCTGCGAATCAAACCGTAAACTATGTCAAAAACAAATCAAATAATTTTATGAAATTTTCAAGATAAAAAGCTTTTGGCATCATTTTACATACTTTTTTTGGTACGTATCGTTTTACATGCTTCATTAGGACAATTGTAATATTTGATAGTTGTCTTAACAAATTTGAATTTTTTCTACAAAAATGGAAATAAAGAATATTTACTTTTGTTCTCTTCTTTCTTGTCATAATTTTGGGCGAATATACCACAATTTAGCACTATATTTTATAGTTGTGTTCTTCTTTCTTTTTTATTTCAATTATTGATCTCGCCTGGATTTATTCAATTACAAAGCGTGGCAAACAATTAAAAGATATAAAACATGATTCACTTGGTCAAAGAGTATGACTAAAAATCAATTTATTAATATTTTTATTATTTGTGTATGAGAATCGAACAAAAGAAGAATCAATTATTGTAGTAGCTAGGTAGAAATGTTTCTCAAGCTGGAAAGTCAAGAAGCTTTCAATACCAATGGTTGTAAGTGATTTAATTATTTAAAGAAACTCTTTTGTATTTAACTAGAGTTAGAAAGTTAGTCGAGAAGAACCATTGATACCTAAGCATTCCATGTGTCAATCATAATAAAGAAGTCTTAATACTGTGGTTCAATATGCTCTCTTCGTTCCATTAAAACTATCATATTTTAGTCTATTCTAAAATTTTTGCTACCTAGCTTAAGTGACAAATATTATTTTATCTACTTTCCGCCTTAACAATCTTCAAGAGGTTGAAAGGCTTAAAGTCAACCTTGTTTGAATTGTTATTTTAAAAATTTTTGTAAAAAAATATAATATAATAATTTAATATATATAAAATAAAAATTAATTAAAAAATATGTTCACCAAAAATATAAAAATTTTTCTTAAAAAGTCACAATCCAAACAAGTACCGATAGTGTCATTTTTCAAGAGTTTTGGAAAAGGTTAAATGGCAAATGTGTATATTCCACTTTGAAACCTTCAACATGTTGAAAAGATTTAAAGTCTTAGTTGTGGGACCAATAGTGTCATTTTCCAAAGAGTTTTGAAAACGGGGACATGACATTCGCGGAAGATTTGCGCTAGAGAGGATGCATACACGAGATGCTGGAGAACACTTGGAAATTTACTAAAAGACTTGGCCCCGCATGTGTCTTTTGACTCTTTTCTTATTTCCACCTGGACAGAGAAGGAAACTAAAGCGAAACAAATAGAGAATCCAAACAAATGAACACTTCATCTCTCAAAATTGTTTGATTATTTTGATAAAATTAAAAATTTTTCAAACTTAATTTGTTTACTTCTCAAGTTGAAGTCAAGTGAGTTTTTATCTAATTGAGCTTAAGTAGTTTGAATTTTTTACATGTAAAATTTACTTATATGTTAATTAAGTCTAATTCTAGTCGAACTTCAAAATTTATCCAATACAAATTATTATTCAAATTTTGTTTTCTTAGTACGAATCAAATTCAAATGAACTCTTATGGAGTGCTTAATTTGATTCGATTATCGAGTAATTTAGTTTGTTTTTTTAATTCTAAAAACTAGTGTTTAGCAAACCACTATCGAAGGGGAAAAAAAAGCACAAGCCCGAAGTGTGGCAAAAAATTCGAGTTGAAGGGACTATTAGGTTGTCTAATGTACAAGAAAACAATGAGATTTTTTCAATTAAGGCTTATTTGCAAAATACTATTTGCTTGCATTATAAAAATGTTTTTCAATCAAATTTTTTTATTTCATATACATCACATAAAAAAAGTGCTATAATAAGTATTTCAAATAATCTCCTATCCAAACACACTAAAAAATTGTAACCTTCAAGTAAAAGTTTTTTTAATCGGTCTAGATGCATAATAATTAATTTCAATTTGAATTTGAACTTAAAATTTTACATATATAATATACATTCACTACTATTAACGTGTATACTATCAATGTAAAAAAGATTAACCTTATAAATAAATTATTATCTATTCACTTATAACACAATATAGTGTATTGTAAAGTATACTTGACAACAAGTATATCAATAGCATCAACATCGGCCACACTGCCCCATGTTGCTCATCAAGTGTGTGCAAAATGTTAAATATGGAGTATGAATAGATTACCCTACAAATAGTTTGCTTTTTTCGTAATATTAAGTTTTCTAGCTAATTTCATTTTATACCCTTTAACTTTTTCATGACTCTCACTTGCATCTTTGAAATTCAAAATGGACACTTTACTTTCTAAATTATAAATTCCGTCCACTTAAATATAGTTCTTGACAACATGCCCACAATTAATAGAATAATTGGCACATTCCATTAACTTACCAGGAAAAATATAAATTCACGAGACAAAAGAAAGCCTGTAAATCCGACTCTTTTTCTCTGTCTTCTTCTTCACTCTCTCTGTTTTTTATTTTTATTTTTATTTTTTGCTTTTGCTTTTGCTTTTGCTTTTATTTTTCTTCCTTTTTTTCGGACTTTTGTAATCCACTGATTCTTTTTCATCAAAACTTACAAGAAAATATCCATTCTCCTAATTCTATTCATCACTAATCCACTAAAAAATCTAACTCTCCCATATTTCTAAATCAATTTTTAAACTTCAAAAAAGTACCAAAATTTTATAATCTACTGGAATCCAAGCCGCAAGTCGTGCCTCGCCTCCTGGAATAGACATAGTATCTAAGGTGAAGCATTTTAGTACTACTATCCAATTGTGATTTTTTGACGAGTATCTTGACATTCGACTTGTAGAGGCAAAAAGTTGCCGCTGCTAAGGTTCGAGGGTATTGAGAATCACAAGTAATATAGGAGACTACAACCCTCTGTCTTCGGCTTCATTTTACGTAAACAAGAAAAAATTGACAATCACAGATACAACTTGGAGGCTGCTGGAATTTTCAAATCCAGATTTCCCATGAAATTGGTTAAAAAGAAAAAAAAATTAATTGATGAATTCTAAAAGTCAGAACCAATAAGAGAAAATTTATTTTGTTCGCATGACACCCTTTTTTCATCAATTTTTGGCAGCGAATGTTTCTCGTTCTTCAACTTTAGTACCATCCTTGTTGTTTCTGTTGAGACTAAGTCTTTTAGCTGGGATTTTGATGGATTTATAGAGGGGTTTAAATGTACGGTTATCAAAGGATTGTCTACGGTTTAACCATGGTTTTTTGTGTTTCTAGAATATTTGGAATATTTGCAGTAAATTGAAGGTAGAAATTGGAAGCAGAGGTGCCGATAAAATTGAAGGTAGGTTCATAAGTGCTGGCTTGTATTAATCATACTTAATGTTGAGACTGGGATTCAGGCATTTTTTGGGAGCATAGATGGTCTTCGATTTCCTTGTGGGTGTGTTTGCAGCGGATGAATATCTAAATCTTGATCTTCTGCGATGGAAAGATATGCATAATGTTGATTATGGTGTTAGACTTGCCTAAACCGTTGATCGTATGTTGCTGGCAATGTGGTGCCTTCAGTCTGGCAGAGTAGAAAATGAAAGAAGAAGAAAGCCAAAAAAAAAAAAATGAAGAAAAATAATAATATTTAACTTTGAAGAGGGGGGGGGGGGGTTTGGAGGTCGCTAAATTGACATTTATGTCTTAGTACATTTGGTTGATTTTATAAGTTAACAGAATGTGAGAATTATCCTATTTGTTTTGGGCATTTCATCATCACGGATTACAGTTAAGTGGAACTGAATTTATAGTTTAGGGAGCAAGGCTTCGCATTCTAAAGTTCAAGAATGCAAATCGGAGTCGGGTTAACGTTAAAGGATGCAAAGTGTGTTTAACCCTTTCTGCTAGCAAACCAGGATTAACTGTCTAATGCTGCTAGCAAATTTTCATGTTAATGTAAATATGTTAATATAGATATTAATTAGTCTATTAGTATCAATTAGGGATTTTCTTTATAGAAACTAGTCTAAGATTCAATGTAACTATTGTTCAAGTTCACTTTGTACAAACCTATAATTGTAGGCATAATCTCTTGTACATTGGTACAAGAAATACATTACATTTTCCCAAACCTTATTTTATCTAACATGGTATCAAGAGCATTGTTGCATGATTCCTAGAAAAGGCTCTAGAATAATTTTGTTCATAATTTTTTTTTTTCAATATTCATTAGTGTTCCACTTCCGAGTCAATTGTTCTTCTCAATGGTTTTTTTTTTTTTTAATTCCACGCACCCATCTGATGGCTCGGTGATTTGTTAGCTTTTGCTCCAGATATCACAACTCTGCTTTGGATCTCTTCTATAACCCAGATCTCCTTCTTGTTTGAGTCCACCACTTGTTTAGGATATTCCTTTGCAACTATAGTCATTGTCTCAGGCTCAAATCTATTCTGCTGCTCCAGCCTGCTATATGAGGCCTAGATCTAAACAGCCGCTTGATTCCAGCCTATTCCACATCTGCTCCAGTTCCAATTTACGGCCCACATTGCTCCGGCCCACAACCCGTGAGCTGCTCTGCGGACTTAATCTCGATCAGCACCTTACCCACGAACTTCACTGCTGACATAATCTTAATTCAACCGGATCTCCTTTTTTTTTTTTTTTTTTTTGTCAGTTACGATAATATTTATATAATT